AAAAAAAAAAAAGAATCTCCAAAAAAAAAAAAAAAATTAACTGAAGTCGAACACAGCCTTTCACAGCAACATTAGCTGGTACATTCACTCACTGATGGGTTCCTAGAACATTTACCCAGTGGGGGAACCTGGCCTCCAAAAAATAATTCCGGGTCTTTTGAGGTCCTCCCTCATATTACTGATGGCTTATAAATATTGTCCTTTCCCCACAAAGCGACTAGAAGTTTTAGTGTTATTTAGTTTGAAGAACAGATAAACTATATGACTAAAGGTGGCCTTTCACCAGGCTGGCTTTATATAAATGGTTCATTGGTTCATGTTTATAATTTGTGTTTGTAGGAAACTTTCTGTACAGACGCTCCTCAGCTTACGATTAAATTCAATCCTGATAAGTTCGTTGTTAATTGAAAATATCATTCAGTCAAAAATGCACTTAATACACCCAACCCGCCAGGTGCAAGCAGCTCATGCCTGTAATCCCGCACTTTGGGAGCCCAGGGGTTCTAGACCATCCTCAGCAACTTGGCGAGACCTCATCTCTACAATAGTTCAAAAAATGACCCAGGCATGGTGACGCATGCCTGTAGTTCCGGCTACTTGGAAGGCTAAGGCGGAAGGATCATCTGAGCCCAGCAGGTGGAGGCTGCGGTGGCCATGAGCCATGCTACTGCACTCCAGCCTGGGCGACAGAGTGAGACTCTGATTCAAAAATCAATCAATAAATAAAAATAAAACTTGGGTTTCTTGCCTATGTTCATCAATGGATCTATGTATGTAATTTAAATGACAATGCTGTAATGGAAATGACACGTATTTGCTTTTGTAGTAAGAAGAAATTTATCAATCATAAAAAAGCCTATAGCAGGCATCTGCAAAGGCTAATTTGTCCCGTCTCTTCCAACCACAAAAGAGCAAAAACTTGAGGCTTTACTGTCATTGCTGCTCTGAGAAAAATGCCAGTCAGCCACTCATTATAAGATAACTCTTACCCTCCCCAAATAGAGAAAAGCCTTTAAAATAGCGCTCTTATAGGAGAAAAACAATGAACTTTCTGTAGGGAGAGACATGATTATTGGAATGATTTGCATTTTACTTCCCTATTTATTTGACTCTTACTTTCTATTTGCTCTTTGGTTAAGTAATTGCCTATGATTATACATCTAACTCAGTGGGTGATCCTGTGCAAGACACTTAACTCTCTGGGCCTCAGTTTTATCAGCAAAGGGCAGGCGTGGACCCAACAATCTTTTTTTATTTTTGAGTTGGAATCTCTGTTGCCCAGGCTGGAACGCAGAGGCACATTCATGGCCACTGCAGCCTAGACCTGCTTGGCTCAGGCAATCCTTCTGCCTCAGCCTTCCAAGTAGCTGGAACTACAGGCACGTGCCACTACGCCTATCTAATTTTTGATTTATTATAGAGATGAGTCTCAGCAAGTTGCTCAGGCTGGTCTTGAACCTATGGACTCAGGCAATCCTCTCACCTCGACCTCCCAAAGTGCTGGGATTATAGGTGTGAGCCACTGCACCCAGACAAGACCCAACAGTCTTTGAGGCCTCTTCCTAGAAAATGCCTTGGAGCCGGGATCGGTGGCTCAGCCTGTAATCCCGCGCCTTTGGGAAGCTGAGGTGAGTGGATTGCCTGAGCCCGCGGGTTTGAGACCCGCCTGGGCAACTTGGCGAGACCTCATCTCTACAATCAATCAAAAATTAGCCGGGCGTGGTAGCATACGCCTGTAGTTCCGGCTACTTGGAAGGCTGAGGCGGAAGGATCGCCGGAGCCCAGGTCGAGGCTGTGGTGGCCGGGAGCAGCCACTGCACTCCAGTCTGGGCGACGGAGTGAGACTCCAACTCAAAAAAAAGAAACAAGAGAAAAGAAGAAAAAAGAAAATGCCTTGGACCCTCGCGATTATCCAAGAAAGCACTCAGAAGTGACTGGAAATGCGGAAATATTACCTACACGCAGCAAGCAGGAATACCAGGAAAGCAGTTCATCCTAAGCCTCTGCTGTATAAATAGTGGACTGTCCTTATATCTACTGTCTCATTTGCTCCTCACTCCTGGAGGAAAGCCAAGGTATTCTTATTTCAACTTTAGAGATGAGAAAATACAGGTCCTGAGGGGTCCAGGGACTTACTTAAAGTCCTATTAGTAAGCGGCAGACCACCCTTCTCAGTCCCAGGCTCCTTCCACTGTATCCTGCCTTGGGGGTAAATGGCGACTTGAGGTTTAGGATTATATCTCATCATGTCTCCCCCAGGACTTAGAACTCTCCTTAGGAGTGTTCTGGAAGGAAATGTTCGGATTAATTTTCACAGATTAACACACTGTGAAGCTGGGCTGTTCTAGGCCAGGCTCAGAGAGAAGTAACAGTCAAAGTTTCCAGCAAAGATCCCTGGTAACTGCCAGGCCTCCCCTGAGAAACCCCATCCCTTAAAAGTAATATTTCTGCCCACAGAAGAAGCTGGGTCCCACAGCCAAACATGATGTGGCTCTCTGCCACTGTCCCTTGAGACCCAACCTTGATGGCCACTGGAAGGCAAATGCCCACAAGGTTAAGGCATTGATGCTTGCAAAAACAAATGAATGAATGCAGTCTAAATTACTCTGTAGGTGTTCCCTAATAATTATAATTATATATTTTATATATTTTCATATGGAAGCAAAATTCTCATGAGCATTATCGGAGAAATGGAAGCCTGGAGGTACATAATGATGACAAGGAATCAGATCAATGGTAATCTATCTGATGACACCTACCTACAATTTACAACCTGTGTACTGAGAACATTCCATACATATATATATATTTTTTTCTTTTTGAGTTGGGGGATCTCGTTCTGTCACCTAGACTGAAGTGCAGTGGCACAATCATGGCTCACTGCAGCTTCGACTTCCTGGGTTCAGGCAATCCTTCCGCCTCAGCCTCCCAAGTAGTTAGGACTACAGGTGTGTGCCACCACACCTGTTATTTTTTAAAAATTTTTTGTAAAGATGAGGTCTCATTACGTTGCCCAGACTGGTCTTGAACTCCTGGGCTCAAGCAATCCTCCTGCTTCGGCCTCCCAAAGTGCTGGGAGTACCGGTGTGAGCCACTGCATCCAGTCATACAACATTATTAATAATACAGCTTGACTCTTAGCTTTGTAGACATTGACTGATGTGTCACTACAGGACTGGAAGTCAGTTTACAATGTGTAAGATAACCACAGAATAAATGCATTTATGAAATTATACATAAGTATGGCAGATCACAGAAACAAAACCATGGCAGAAGATACCTTTCACACACTAGGCCAACCTGACACAGTATCATAATTAACCTTAGAGATCAGATCTCTCCTATCATGGCCATTCCACCAAGGTCAGATGGTTCTGATTTTTGTTATGGCAACAGAAAGTACTGGCAATACAGGGAGTGACAGAAGGGAAACATGATGAGCTGATATGAAACTGAGAGAAATTAAAATATTTGTTAGTTTCCCTTAGAAATTCTCCAGAGACAAGTCAACCTTGTAATTCACACAGAGAAGGTTAAAAAACAATTAGAGTGCTAGTCTCAGCAGGACCTGGAAAATTTAATCCTCATACTAAACTTGTCCTTTCAGCTCGCTGTATTTTTGGCACTGCACACTATCTGAAAAGCAGAGATAAAGCCAGGCCTCTCCCTCGATGGAAAACAGGCTTGATTTATCACTCATAAGTTATGACTAAGTAGCATGGAAAAAAAAAATCATACCGTCAGGATTTATTTTCTAAGACTCCATAAAACTCATCGCTCCATGCTCACTAACACTGATTTTATGACTTCAACTGCATGGTTCCAAAACCAAAACTCTCAACCTGCAAGACCTTGAGATTCAACTTTTCCGGCAGGTCACTGCCTCACGTAAACGTGCCGAAATGACAGTGCACATGGAGAGAGGCCCACTAACCTTCGGCAACTTCTGGGGGTGTCTCTCCTTCTTGGTACAGAGTGTCAGCTCACACTGCAGAAACAGCAGCGAGGTGTTGAAGACAGGCTTGAAGACAAAGCTGAATCGCTTCTTATCCATTTCGGCTTGTGGGATAGGGAAGTGCACTCTCTTGGAACTGTAGAATTTTACAGATTCATCTTTAGGACAAATGTTCTCAATGATGGTATAATCAGACATCCTATCAGGGTTTGAATACGGAGAGATAAAGCAGGTTTGGATGGCGAATCCCAGTTCCTGGTCAGCCTTTGTAACAGACACCTATGAAAGAACAGAAAGATGAATTCCAAGCTGAGTTAGCATCTCACTGTTTTTTAGGCACAAGGACAATATACTAACATAGCCCATCGGAGGAGATGGTGCTTTATTTTCATAACATATCTATAGCCTTCTTTCTAATTTCTTTCACACACTCATTGAAAGAAAGAGACATTTTCCATTTAAACTTGATATGGATGGTGACGGTGAATTGTTTAGTTCAAATGCCGGTCTGGCAGATTCAAATACAAGATGAATACGTCTCTACAACCCCCCATAAGTCTTCTGAGAGATAAAAATAAAAGCACACCATGCTCTTAAAGTGGATTTTCCAAAATAAATAAAAGAGCAAAAGGCAGTTCCCCTAACGTCATAATGGTATAACACTCACAAGCCAAGTTGTCTTAAAAAAATTGCTCAGGGCCAGGTGAGGTGGCTCATGCCTAAAATCTCAGCTCTTAAGCCAAGTTGTCTTTAAAAAATTGCTCAGGGCTAGGTGAGATGGCTCATCCCTATAATCCCAGCTCTTTGGGAGGCCGAGGTGAGAGGATTGTCTGAGCTCACAGGTTCGAGACCAGCACAGGTAACTTGGCAAGATCTCATCTCTACAATAAATCAAAAAATTAGCCGGGCATGGTGGTATGTCCTTGTAGCTCCAACCACTTGGAAGTCTGAGGCAGAAGGATCACCTGAACCCAGCAGGTCGAGGATGCGGTGGCTGTGAGTGTGCCACTTCACTCCAGCCTGGGCAAGAGTGAGACTCCAGCTCCAAAAAAAAAAAAATTGTTAAAAAAAAAATAGAGCACAGAAGTGGAATCCCTTTAACCTATGCAGGATGACTGAGCTTCCAAACTGCAACAAGTCAGAGTAAGCCTAAAACATTACAGCAAAGCTGCAGACTCAACTGAAGTCCTGCTTCATGGATGAGAAGGCAGAGCTGACCTCTGGTGCTGGATGTCGGGGATGGTGCAACCTGGTGGCCATCACGGACCTGGCAAAGCATCCCAGCTGCTTACAGTCTTGCCAATTTCTCTCCCTTCACTCTTCAAGCCCAGGGGTAGTTTAAGGGAAATCTAATCTGGAAACATTTCCAACTCATTTACACTTCCCTCTTACAAAACATTTGTAGGAGTTACATCCAAATCTTGTTAAGGGTCTCTTCTTTAGAAACAGGAAGTAGTGTTTAGCCAAGTGTAAACAGAATTCAAACCTCAACTATCCTGAAGTCAGCTAAAATCCCCTGGCCTGACTAGATTCTCCATTAGTGACACATGGTTCACTGCACGAACTGCCCCTCCTCTCCATGCCTCAATTCTTGACTAAATTTAGGATCAAAATAAACGTAAACACTTTAGAAATAAAGTTAGTCCTTACCCACAGGCCAATAGCCCCAGAATCCTTTCAAAAGACCTGGAGAAATAAACAACTTTCCACACTGAGATACCCAGGGGAAATCCCTGACATCGCATGGGGCTTTGAACCCACGGCCCCATTGAGCAAGATTTCTGCACGGTTAACTACAGGATACTTAACGGTGAAGATGATGAGAAGCAGGAGGATGCCAACAAAGAGGATTATGATAATGTCTCCATGGGGTGACATTCTGTAAATACTAGCATCGATATTTCTACAGCATTTCTGAAAAACAAGATACTCTATCTTGGAAGAATGGCAAATTGCATATATGCTATGACTAAAAAGTGCCCTTTCACATGAACTCAGAACCCACAACGTGAGAGCGATTTTCTCTAATCTCAAGGAAAGTCTTTCATGGCAGAATGTCTAGGGAATCCCAAAAGGTTTTATTGGAGGGAAAAAAATAATTTCATCAGCAAGTCTTCTACTCAGAGTAGACCGGAAATAGTTGTTGAAGGGTTACAGGCTTTGGAGTGAGGCAGTTCAAGGCAGTCACATGCTTGGCTGCCCACATGTTGTGTACCCTGAAACTCAGTTTCCTCGCCTACAGAATGAGATGAATACCTACAAGATACAGTTACTGTGGGAATTCATAAAGTAAGAGTTATATGCAAATAACACAGTTCCCAGATAGACAATAAATGCCACCTGTTATTAGTAGTACAATTCTAGATTTAAAATGTTGAGGGTTATTAACAGGTTTTTTTTTAATTTCTCCAAGACAAATTAACTAAAAGAAAAACTGCCATTATGGGACCAATGGAAAAATGACCAAAGAACAGGTAGCAAAACTGAAAATGTCTTGGATTAAAGGAAAGGACTGCATGGCCCAGAGGGAATGGAGGATTAACTTTCTTTATTTTTTTTCTGAGTCTGAGTCAAACTCTGTCGCCCAGGCTGGAGTGCAGAGGCACGCTCACGGCCACCGCGGCCTCGATCTGCTGGGTTTAGGCGATCCTTCCATCTTAGCCTTCCAAGTAGCTGGAACTACAGGTGTGCGCTACCACACTCGGCTAATTTTTCGATTAACCAAATTACCCAGGCTGATCTCGAACCCCTGGGCTCAGGCAATCCTCTCTCCTCGGCCTTCCAAAGTGCTGGGGTTACAGGCTTGAGCCACTGCGCCCAACCCAGGATTAACTTTAAAAACATAGATATATGAAAAAATATAGGTGGGAAAATAAGAACAGGGGGAAACAAACTCCTACTGATAACATATTTCAAGGAAGTCAGTATTTTGGGATGAGGAAAAAAAAAAAAAGCCAAAATATCCAGAATAAGACACGTGAGGAAGACTGACCACTGATGAGCATTAAACCAGAAAAGCCATAAATTAGCAAAGCCAGGCACACATTTGGAAAGGAACGAACCGCAGTTAAGCGGAGCCTCAAAAACCCACAGCACACAAGGGAGTGGCTGACCAGCAGCACATGTGAAACTGAGCAGTCAGAAAAGCAAGAGGAAAACAGTCTTAGATCAGGAGAGAGCAAGGGAGAGAGGATTAGGAACAGCACGTACACAGCAGTGCGTTCTCCCCAGTGGAGAAAGAAGGTGTACCCAGAGCAAGAGAAGAGATCTCAGAACACAGAGGAGGGGCAGCTCCATACGAACAAGGAGAACACCATCGAGAGCCGGTGAGCTGCATCACAGTCAGTGTAAATGTGAGAGTCATCGTTCTTTCCGAAACAGAAATCCATGCACTGACGTCACTTTCAACATTAGGAAGTATCCTGTTCCGATTCCTTAAGCGCCCCACCCCTCTGGCTGTGAAGGAGAACACAGCTTGCAGTTTAGCACCCCGGCTAGCTCATCAAGGGCACTAGCTCATCAGATGATGACTTCCTCGCAAGACCGATGGATGACACGCCAACAGATGACATGCCCGGTTGAAACGCTAAAGGTTGTGCCCAGGGCATGAGAAACAGCAGACATCCTGGAGCCATAGGATATTTATTTTCTCTAGAATCCAATCTGGGAACCTGGATACTTGCATTGATAAGAGGTTGTGTTTTCTCCCCTTTCAAATGGTACTTTGAGTATAAATGACAGTAGCATTCAGTGGAGAACAGGCAGCCTGAATAAGAGCTCTGAATCCGAACTCTACTAACCCCAGTAGGGTGACCTTGGATAAGTTTGCACCTCAATGTCCTCATCCATAAAATGGATCTACCATTAATCCTCTTAGGATTGCTTTGGAGAGTTAATTAATTGCTACAATACTTATCACTGTGTTCGGCATATAACACATTTGCAATAAATTTTAGCTGTTGTGATTTCGTTATTACCATCACTACCTAATATCTTATGCCATACAAGATTATTACCATTATATATAGGACATAGTTTTAATAAATTGACATATTTAAATAATGACCTAGAAAAAAAAATCATGAGAAATGGTAGCGCACACAGTATTTCACTTAAAAGTGAGTTCGAATGCCAGGCGTGGTGGTTCATGCCTGTCATCCCAGCACTTTGGGAGGCGGAGGCGAGAGGACTGCCTAAGCCCACGGGTTTGAGGTCAGCCTGGGTAACATGGTGAGACCTCATCTCTATAATAAATAAAAAAAATTAGCCAGGCGTGGTGGCACATGTCTGTAGCTTCAATTACTGAAGGCTGAAGTGGAAGGATCGCCTGAGCCCAGCAGGTTGAGATTACGGTGGCCATGAGCATGCCACTGCACTCCAACCAGGGTGACAGAGCAAGACTCTGTCCCAAAAATAGTGAGTGTGATTTAGAAGATAATATAGGAGGTGGTTTGAATATTCCATGGTTATCTCCAACATTGTAACTACTGAACCACTCTTCCAAAAATGCTAGGGAAAAAGCAAGGACAGAGCTTTATTAGTAGAATTCACACTTGCTAAGATATTTTTTAAACATTAATCTACAAAACCCTCTCTCCACTTAGCATAATGTATTAAATCCTGACATTTCCTGCTTTGGTCAGAAATCAACCTGGAAGTGTGCTCTGAGCTGAGCCCTCATGAGAGCTGGTACAGGACTGTGAGGAAGAGGAAAGGTCTGTACAGGGCGTTTTATTTTATTTTTTAGTTTATTGTTATTATTTTTAATAGACACAAGGTCTCACTTTGTTGGCCATGCTAGTCTCAAACTCCCAGGCTCAAGTAATCTTTCCGCCTCAGCATCCCTGAGTGCTGGGACTACATACAGGTATGAGCCACCGCACTCAGCTGATGTTTTATCTAATGTCTGAGGAACCACAACTCAGCGCTCACTTAGAAGCCCAAGGCTAATATTTGAGTCTCACCTCGACATAGATATGTCCATTCTCTGCCACAGAGAAGACCCCCTGGGAGGGCATCAGAAAGAGGTCAGTGTTGTACAGCTCCATGTTGAAGGTGATGTTTTCATGGGGCTGGTCTTGGACACTACTAGGATTCCCCACCTGCCGCAGGCTGCAATTAAACTGAAGGAAAAAAAAAAGCAAAACAGATGCAGAAAAATCACAGTCACATGAAGGAGAAAGGCCCTGGGGCTTTCTGAGATTTGGCCTTTCACATCTGATTTTGTTTTCTGATAGTCCCTAACTAAAGTTAACAAAACAGACAACACGCTCCACAAACTACCTATGGATAACAAACACATACCACCACAATCTCAGGTCGGCTGAGTAAAGAAGGATCTCCTTCATCCATGTCTCCTGGAAATCCGTTATCCCCTGACTCCAAATCTTCATACCCATCTGGCCAACCGCTACCATCCCCAGGGACTGGAGCTTGTATCACAATCTAAAGACAAAGAAAGTACAGCCAGCGTTAAAAAGCACCAAACTACGTGCATCTGGCTCTACCTCACATGAACACCCACGTCATATTTCAGATGCAAACTGAAAATCTGACTTTAAGACACAAGACAATAAAACTCTAAGCTTTTTAGGATTTCATTTCCAAAGGGATTTAAGGAAGAGCCCAACACAGGTTCAAGTTAAGTCAGAACTGAAACTTGTATTGCCCCTTGATAATCCCAGCACTTTGGGAGGGGGAGGATTGCCTGGGCAACTTGGCAAGACCTCATCTCTAACAAAAAAAAGAAAGAAAAAAAAGAAAAATATAGATTTGTTTTGTAACTATGTTGAACAATTACACATTATTTTAAGTGATGGGAAAACACTAGACACGGAAATGGAGTTGAATGGGGTTGTCAACAAGCTTGCCCATCCAGTGAGAAGGGGCTTCTTCTTGAGGGTCTTTATATTAAAAACTCCAAGAAACACCAAAAGTTGGTTACTGCAAGGAGCTTGTGTTATTTGTACTCTTTAATATTTGCAGAAAGTTTGGTCTGAGTTCAAAGCAAAGGACCTAATGTTTATCACGAAACCACCCTTCCCCTCATCTTTGCCTCACACTCCTTATTTTTTGATCATTTTTTCCCTAGTATCTTTCTGCATGGTGTGTGGATACAGAAAAGAACATCCTGTCTTATTCCAGGACAATCTGTCTTAACATTGGTTGAAGTGATTCTTCCTGGATTAGTTCTAAATAAGATGAAAAAATTCGCCCAAGGCTCATGAATCCGTAAATAAAATCCTCATCGATTTTGCTTTACACGCTTAGATTCTGAGCATGATACAAAACAGATATGTACTGTAAATTTGAAAAGGACTACCCACAATTACAACGGAAACAAACAGCTATAAATGTTCCTGAAATAAGTAGAATTGAAAGAGCATGCAGGAAACCTGCCTCTCTCTGTTTTACTAGGTCCTCAAAGAAAGTACTGATGCAATTGAGGCAAGTATCTAAGATACTTCACCTGAACATCATAGTACAAAAATAAAAATACATGAGAAGAAAGGAACCTTAAAGGGTCATAATATGCCTTTCTCTCCCAAAGCAACTGACACTTTTCTTTTCTTTTTGAGTACATGTCTTACTCTGCTGCCCAGACTGGAGTGCAGTGGCATACTCATGGCCGCTGCAGCCTTTGACCTGCTGGGCTCAGGTGATGCTTCTGCCTCAGCCTTCCAAGTAACTGGAACTATGGGCGTGCACTACCACACCTGGCTAATTTTTTATTTATTGTAGAGTTGAGGTCTCACCAAATTGTCCAGGCTGATTTTGAACCCCCTGGACTCAGGCAATCCTCTGGCATCTGCCTCCCAAAGTCCTGGGGTTATAGGCATGAACCACTGTGCCCTGCTTGATACTTTTTTTACTTAAGAAGAATATTATGGTAGCCTCTTCTTCGTGTTAACTTGGACACCAGTTTTAAAATGCCAAGACCAATTTTATATCAATAATATATGACATTCATTATATATTTCGAGAAGCTGGATCACTCCAAGAAAATTAGGGTTGTCATTAGCAGGAAGTCAAAGGTTAATACATTCATTATTCAAGTAACAAAGGGAGATTATCTGGGCCCAGCCTAAGGAAATATTCGTGGCCAAGAGGTCAAGAGCTGGATTCAGTCAGGGCTCTGCCATTAACTAGTCCCACAAATCTAAGCAAATCTTTTAACTCCCTGGAGTTCAGTTTCCTCACCCGTGTAGTGAGGAAGTTGAATGAGCTCATCTTAGGTTTCTTTCCAGCTCCAACGTTCTAACATTCTCTAAGGAACAATAAACGGGCTCCCAGTAGAGCCACTTCCAACATGATCTACACTGACCTAAGCATCCAACTGCCAGCCTCTGGATTGGGTCAGACATACTAGTGGACTGGTAGTGAAAAGAACTAGTAGCCACGGCCCAGCCCCTCCCATGTCAAAGCTGGAGTGGGCACCAAGAACGCACACATGCCTACCCCGTGTGGACACAGAGATCTCTCAGCCTGATTTTTACCACCAAAAGTATAACCTAAACTGCAAAATTAGCACCTTAAAGTTCTTTTGAGATTTCATGTTTCAAATTCCTTTAATATTTCCTGCCCAGTCTCTGTCTCTAAGAGAAAGAGTTCCATCTGAAAAGATTTAGATGAACTGACAAGAAGGATTTCTGGAAAGTGAAGGTTAACTATTCTAATGGATTATCACTGGGGAAAATTTGTGGAATCTTTCTCAAGGTAACTTTAAAAGTAAGAGATTTTCTTCAATGTGGGGCCTTCTTAGAAGTGAAGAGAAAGACTTAATGACAGTTTATGGTTTTAAAAATTTTAACTATAGGCCAGGCACAGTGGCTCATGCTTAATCTCAGCACTTTGGCAAGCAGAGGTGGGACAACTGCCTGAGCCCAGGAGTCTGAGACCGGCCTGGGCAACATGGCGAGACCTCGTCTCTACAATTAATCAAAAAATTAGCTGGGTGTGATAGCGTGCCTATAGTCCCAGCTACTTGGAAGGCTGAGGGGAAGGATCGCCTGAGCCCAGAAGGTCAAGGCTGTGGTGGCCATGATTATCCCGCTGCACTCCAGCCTGGGCGACAGAGTGAGACTCTGACTCAAAAAAAAAAAAAGAAAAGAAAATTTTAACTAGAGGGGTACACACACAGGTCAGTTACATAGGTATATTGCATGATGGTGAGTGTTGGAGTCTTACTGAATCCATCATCCAAATAGTAAGCACGACACCCAATAGGTAGTTTTCAACCCTTGTTCCCCTCTCACCCTTTCCCAGTGCCTGTTATTCTCATCTTTTACGGCTGTGTTCACCCAGGATTTTGCTCCCACTTATAAGAGAGAACATGCGGTGTTTGGCTTTCTGTTTCTGCATTAATAATAATAATAATAATTCTTAAAGGCCCTTTTCAGGCCTTAACTTTTCTTTTTTTGGATCTTTATTCATGAGAGAGGGAGGAGTTTTTCTACTTCTGGACAAGACTCAAGTGAGGCCAGAGAGACCATGCATCTGATAAACCCAGTTGCATGGAGGTGCTCACGCATAGAGCCCAGGGTCTTGGATTTTATATAAAAACCAGGACAGCCTACCATAGAGAGGAGTTGTAATCACCTTGCCAGTGAGCCCTTTGCCGTCAGGAGATGGAAGGAGGGGGTGGGTGAGATCACCACAGCTCCAGCTGAGAAAACAGGGACTTCTCAAAGACTCACCAATAAAGCAAATAAAACTAGAGCCCAGGGTCCAAGTGCATCCCTTTTTGTTGAGAACTGACACCTGGCTTTATTCAGGCCTGGGATCTATACTCTTCCTCCTTTTTCTAGAAACGTTAAGAGTAATTTGAAGGTAACGAGCAGCAAAGCTCTGGCAAAGGGCAAAGCTTTGTTCTAGAGAACACTCACGGAGTTATAGTACACCACGCCATCAGGGGCTGACCGCTGGTGCCGAGTACCACAGCCGTTCAGGGGAGACTCCAAGACAAAGTGGGTGCCATTCATCTGGGCTTTGCAGGTAGGATCCAGCAGGGTGAGCTCCAACCCTGGGTAGCCATTGGCCTGAAACAACAACCACCAAAGACATACTGGAGGGCCCACAGGCCCACAGTCCTGCTGCGTGGTGAACACATGCTACCTGGTCTTCCAAGGAAAGGTTATCAGAGTCCTGCACCACACACCCTCCCCTCTTACCTCTCAACAGCCCAAGGATGATGCCTTTTGGCCTTGGAAATTCAAAAGCAAAATATTGACACGCAAGGATCTGAACCCCCCACCCACCTGACTGAGAACAACAGGAACTGGGCGAGAATTGGAGCCAAGGGGAAGTTGGCCCATCCAACTGAGAAAACAGCATCAGGCTTTGAGTCCAAAAGTGAGAGAGACAGGGAGAAATTAACAGACACAGATGGGGCAGGATGGGAAAGGAGGTGGTCTCTCTTCTCGCCTGTAAGAGGCTGCGCTGACCTGAAAGGAATCTTTTTCTACAGCCACGACCATCTTCTCATTGTCACATTTGACGGACAGGGCAACATCCATGCTCCCTTGCACCTCTTCTGGCTCTCTGGGACCAGGAAATAGTTGTATGCCGGGGATGATAGGGTCCCTTGGCTGAGGAATCCCATCTTCTCCCCCTTCCTTCCATCCCCTCCTGGAGATATCAGGGAAAGGAAAGGGGAACCCTCCATTTCGGCTGCCCCCTCCCCGGATGGGCGGATTCGGCAGGGCAGGCAGGATGCCAGGGTCCAACAGGATCCGGAGTTCGGGAGGGATGGTGTAGACTTCCTCATCTCGCATCTCCTCTGGCGATGGCAGAAGAAGGGAAAACATCATCAGCATTGGATGCCAGGTCTCCACTGTCATCATTAGAGGCAGAACAGGAAGACTTGGCACACAGGATGGGTATGGGTAAAATGACTCTCAACAAGCAATACATTAAAGAGATTAGGAGTCTGGAAGCCTGAATTCTAGTCCTGGTGTTCTCTTTAAATAGCTGAATGGCTTTTGGCAAGCAGCTTGCTTCTCTGTGCCTCAGTTTACTCGTTTTTAAAATTTAGGAGTTGGAATTGATCAGTGGTGGCTGCACAAGAACTATCACCTTGGAGCCAGGCGTAGTGGCTCATACCTGTAATCCCAGCACTGTGGGAGGCTGAAGTGGGAGAATTGCTTGAGCACAGGATTCGAGACCAGCCTAGGCAACATAGCAAGATCTCATCTCTATAAAAAATTTTTTAAAAAAATTAACGGCGTGGTAGCACACTCCTATAGTCCCTAGTTACTTGGGAGGCTAAGGTGAGAGGATCACTTGAGCCCAGAAGTTTGAGGCTGTAGTGAGCCATGATTGTGCCACTGCACTCCAGTCTGGGCAAAAGAGTGAGACCCCTGACTAAAAAAAAAGTCACTTTGGGAGCTCAAAACAATATTCCTATGCCCAGGATGTACCCCAAGCCAATTAAAACTCAGATGGTAGCTGGGCTCGGTGGCTCAGCCTGTAATCCCATGCCTTTGGGAGACTGAGGTGAGTGGATTGCCTGAGCCCGCGGGTTCAAGACCCGCCTGGGCAACTTGGCGAGACCTCATCTCTACAATAAACCAAAAATTAGCTGGGCATGGTAGCACACGCCTGTAGTTCCAGCTACTTGGAAGGCTGAGGCGGAAGGATCGCCGGAGCCCAGCAGGTCGAGGCTGCGGTGGCCGGGAGCGGCCGCTGCACTCCAGCCTGGGTGACAGAATGAGACTCCAACTCAAAATAAATAAATAAATAAATAAAATAAAATAAAACTCAGATGGTATCCATCATTAATATGTTTTAGGCGCTCCATGTAATTGCAATGTGCAGCCAAGGTTGAGAACCACTGGAATAAATGATTTCTAAGGCTCCGCAAGCTATAAAAATCTTTGACTCCAGTAAGTTATATGGGCAATATTATTTTATTCAAATGCCATTGAAATACTGTCCTTGAATCTAGAGGTTATTTTGAATAGTTTGTCTAAAGATGCCTTGAATCTATTTTGGAATTTTAAATGCATTTTTCTCCCTCCTTTTTGAATGCTGAATTCCAACAGGCATTTGTGCATCTTGACCTTTTAGAACCTAGTCCCCAATGGGAAAAGAAAGAGCTATGTAGGCACACTTATTCTTTCAAAGGGAGAGACATATTTCCATGCAATCAACGCTCAGTATTTTGTTGTATTTTCAACAGTTTTTTTTTTTTTTTTGAGTTGGAGTCTCACTCTGCTGCCCAGGCTGGAGTGCTGTGGCACACTTACAGCCCCTAGCATCAACCTGCTGGGCTCTGGCGATCCTTCTGCCTCACCCTTCCAAGTAGCTGGAACTACAGGTGTGGCCTGTCACACCCAGTTGATTTTTTATTTATTGTAGAGACAAGGTCTCACCAAGTTGCCCGGACTAGTTTGAAACCTGCAGGCTCAGACAATCCACTCGCCTCAGACCCTCAAAATGCTGGGATTACAGGTTGAGTCATCAAGTCCAGTCATCAACAGTACAAAAAATAACAGCCATTGCTTTGTTAAACTCTGGTCTGGCCATGTGGCTCTTCGAGCTATGGCCACCATGTTTCCCCAAGCTTTGGCCCCCTCTCTTATCTTAAGGAAATGAATCTCTCTCTCTCTCTCTCTCTCTCTCTCTCTCTCTCTCTCTCTCTCTAATTTACTTCCTAAATAAACTATATCTTCCAATCTAAAAAAAAAACAATAATTACAATAATTTCCCCAGTGTTCTCTATATCTGCTACCTAAAACCAATTGATACACGCTTGCGGTCAAATCCACTTCAGTGGAAGCTGGAACTGAAGATGATGGATGGACATGTTCCCTTCTTCAATATTATCCTTTTGAAAAGGGTGCTACAGTCCCAAAGAAGTCACAGCTTTGGAGGGTTTTTCGTTTAAAGGAAACCTTCATGATAACCCCGTAAGGTAGGTCCTAGTATTTTCCCCTAATTCAGAAAACGAATCTGAGGCTGAGAGGGTAAGCGATTTCTCCTCAAACAGCAAATAACTGGCAAAGCTGGTACTTGAAATTGTACTTCTCATTTTCATCCTATCAGCATTACCACTCAGCAGCGGTACTAGGAAGTGAGGAACAAGCTGGAGATCAGAAACTTGGGGTTCCAGCCATGCTAGCTTTAGGAATCTGGAAAACCTCAACAACTCATTGAACCTCTGCTTTCTGCTCCATCAAATGCCATCAAAGGCAGGGAGTAACTCCTGTCTTTCTTCTGGGTAAGAAATCCCCCAAGCATGAGTCCTTGTGACTATTTTCCTATAAGATATAGCCTCCAAGCCGGGTTCGGTGGCTCAGCCTGTAATCCCGCACCTTTGGGAGGCTGAGGTGAGAGGATTGCCTGAGCGTGCGGGTTCGAGACCTGCCTGGGCAGCGAGACCTCATCTCTACAATAAATCAAAACATCAGCCGGGCGTGGTAGCGCATGCCTGTAATTCGGCTACTCAGAAGACTGAGGCGAAAGGATTGCCGGAGCCCAGCAGGTCGAGGCTGCGGTGGCCAGGACAGGCCACTGCACTCCAGTCTGGGCGACAGAGTGAGACTCCAACTCAAAA